CCAAGTTAAAACGCAAGTGGTCCCCCCCCCCCCCCCCCAATAGTGGCACATACTAGGAGCAGCCTTACTAGTGTAGAGTCGCGTGTTTCAAAACACTCAAACCATGTTGTAAGAGAGGAATGGCTGCTTCTTATGATTCAGAAATTTGCACATGCTTATTGCTTATGTTATGCAGTTCAGCATCACTACAGCTTTTTCTCATTTATTATGGACTGTTGTTACTCCCCCTTAATTGTTTGTGATCTGCACAACAAGGAACAAAAGAAAGCTTTGACAAAAAAAAAAAGTGATGAAGACTGACAAATGCACTGACTTTAAAAAAAAACGAAACAAAAAAAACAACAAAAAAACCCCAAAAAAACCTTAATGTAGCCAGAATTGTCCTAGTAGTCTGATCATGTATCACCTCTTCAGTTTGGATCCTATTGTGGATTTATTTACAAACATCACATGCCTTCAAGCCAATCCTTGCTGTATGTTTTGCAGCCAACTGTAGTAGACAAGCAACAGATATGTGGGGGTGGGGGAAGAGATAACAGAAGGAAACTAATAAGAGACTTTGTCAAGGTTGTATACCTTCTTGATTTCTTTTAACAATTTGTTGCCTTTCTGCTATTATTGCAAAGCAATGTTTTGTTACAGACTGCCTAAAGATCACTTAATCTCAGGTGAACTCATCACTTGCCAAACCGTTAGAATGCTATTTGTTTTGTTACTTTGCACTGTTATTTCTTTTGTTTTGTGTTCATGTTTTGGTTTTGTTCTTTGAGGAGGGATTTTGAATAGGGATATGCACAAAACTTACAAAGTGAAAGCAGCACCAGCAGACACCAGCAAAGTGCGAAAAGGACTTTAAAAGGGGATAGTCGTATGCTGTCCAGGGTTCATAGGCAGAGAGATATCTCAACTAGTAGGGATGGGAAGGAGAAGGTTTGTTTGTTGGTTTGTGTTTGTTTTATTAAATAATATGTAGTTACCTAATCACCAAAAATTATATATAAAATGAGTCCCCAGTAGAAAGTATACTTCAGACTGCAAGAAAAGTTTGAACTATGGCAACTAAGCAACAGCTCGGTTTGTGCACTTTGTATTGTCTTCAGGGTTTATGATACTGTAAAAATAGTAAGACTAAAACTATAATAAAACTGGGCCAGAGTTACAGTGTTACCAGCCATACTCAAATTAGTTCGCTAAGAATTGCTCTGATTGTCTCCTGTGCTAGTCCTGAGAGCTTTAAAACAACAAAAAAACCCCAACAATTTTAAACATACATTCGTCTAGAATGTGAGAAATGATATAGAAAAAGTACTCACCAATTGAGTGTACCCTAAAGAAGAAAAGAATGATGGAGCCATTAGATCTGACCAGTGCTTTTATGCTAGAGATTTGTAAACATAAATTTCCTTTTCAGAAATCATGTTAAAAGAAAAAAACCCAACCAACAACAAAAAAAAACCTATTGTCAGAGACATGTCTGATGTTGACTACTTAAAAACTAATCCATTGTGTATATCCTTGTGCAATAAAACAGCTCAGAAAGGAGGGGGAGAGGGAAAGCTGGTGTTTCTGCATTGTGCTCATTCTTATGAAGTTCTGCCTTATTTTTAAGGCTTCATAAATATGACAAAATAGGCTTTTCCATAAGTGGCCTTTATGAGAACATGAAAGATATTTCATGTTTCAAAAATAATGACAGGGTGATTAAAATGAGAGTCACCTTTTCAGTGATTCAGTTCAAAGGTTTGGGCTTTGATAAGCAAGAATTTGAAATTGGGTGATGCTGGCCAATTTTGTGAATGTCCCTTCCTTCTACCCTCTCCAAACAGACAAAATTTTAAAAGTTGATAAGATTATTGGCAAAAAAAGGGCATTTGGTGATTTTACTTTTTTTTCTTTTTTCTTGTTTTAACAGACTAGGGAACAATTGCTGATATACATAGCATTAAAGTACTTATCCTAGTATAATGGAAAACTATATATGAAGCAGAATTGACCAATGTTGTAGTAATTGACATTGCATCACAGGCTGTGATCAGAATGAAAAATTCTAAAACCTTATCAAATAAAGACTTCCCATTTAAACTTTTTTGTTAATTGTTCAGAGGCTGGGGTTTGTTTTTCTTTTGGTTTTTTGGGGTTTTTTTTTTTTTTTTTTGGGGGGGGGGGGGTTTTGTTGTTGTTGGTTTCTTTTTGTTTTGGTGGGGGTTTTTTTGTGTGTGTGGTTGTTTTTTGGGGTTTTTTTGGTTTTTTTTTTTAGTTTTGGTGCTGAATATGTCCTTATGGACTTTGTTTTAAGAAAACTACGTGGAAAACAATTTCATTTTTCCTATTGTTCTTCCTTGTGGAAAATAAACTTTTTTTAAAAAAAAAAAATGCTTTTAAATGCTTTAACTGTAAGCCATAAGATTGTTTGTGACTTTTACAAAGACACATATTAAATGTTTAAAATAATAGCCATAAGGATCAAATTACTACAGAAATACATATGCTATGTATCGATTACATAGAGAGAAAAAACTATTTCTGGAGCTACACCACTGATTAGCACAAGAGATAAGTTTCAGCACCTTCCCTTCCTTTTTCTTGTTTATATCAATGATTTCTTAGGTCTAGGTTCCAGATGGGAAGTTACAATACAATCTTCTAAATTTAGAAAATACCAATAACTTACAGGATATGAATGTCTTTCCAGGACACTGTTTAAAAACTGTTGTAACTTGTGACCTCTGTTCAAGTTGTCTAGTATTTTCCAGTACATATGGTGGGGGCAGGGACTGCACATTTTGGTAGGGGTGGGAGGAAACTGGGGAAGGAGAACTACTTTAAAAGCCAGCTAACTCAGTGGTTTGCAGTTGGGATCTGAAGGTTGGTTTGTTGAACTGGGGTCAATAAGGTGCGTCTTGCTGTTTCCTTGGAAGTCTAATGTTACCAGATGTTGAAAATCACTATCTGCTATTTGTTTTGGTCAGCAGAGCTTTGCAAGGTATTAATACAGCTCTTCAACACTCCAGAAATGAAGCACTGCCATAGCATCTTGTTTCTGCATACTGTACACAGCTGAACCTCTGACAGAATGGACTATCATCATTGTTTAGTAACAAAATGTCTTATGATGTAAAGCAAGGTTCACTAGGCTAGCAGCCAGGGACTCAGGAGTCCAATACATGCTGTTCCTGTCTGTTGGTACTAAAGACCGCTAAATTCTTATGATACTGTACAGTAGGTTTTATGGTGTATGCTACTAACATAGACAACCCAAACATTTGATCTAACTCCTTGTATAATGCAAACAGTAGGCTTCCTCAATGTGTGAATTCTTGTGTGAAAAAAAGCATTTTGATTTAATTTTGAATTTGTAACTGCCAACTACGGAGAATCCAGAAAGATCTTCTAAGGTTTTTGCCTGTTAATAACACTGTTACTCATTTGTGCCTGAGTTCTGGTTGAAACTAATAGGAAATATAAAAAAAAGGTTATATCTTATTATGATTGTATACTGAGTGACAATGGTTAGAATATTTTTTTTTCTAATAACGGCACAGTCATATTTGGATGAAAGACAAGAATTTAAACAGTGCAGGTGAGAGCATGCATTTTTAAGGGGGTAGGAATATACAATCACAAAAAAACAACTGAACCCCAAACTCACATCCAGGAACTAATACTGAAGTGCAAAATAACGTACTAAGCACTGTCTCTGTCTTTTGAGCAGTAAAGTCTGATCCCTTATACAAGAAAACCAGAACTCTAAGATAGTAAATCACCATGCATGGTAGCACTGAGGTCTACCATGAAATCCCTGTATGGGTTCCCACTACGGACAATGGATGGAATTATGAAGTGAAAGACAGTTCCCCTCTTGTTCCTGTGCATCAGGCTAGTCTAAAGTATGCCTTGGACTATGCCAACAAATGTTGGGAAGGGGGGAGGTCAGAACCTGTTAACTGTTCATGGATTTAATGTTATGTCTAAGATGATTTTATGAGTAGGATATCATTCAGTCTTTCTCAAAAGAGATATAATACAATGGGGAAACAGAGGAGAAGGGAAAATCACTACACAATCTAATGCTTTTTAATTTTTATCTGAAAATTCATGCAATTATCTAAATGTAAACAATGCCTTAGTGTCATCAAACTGCCTAGAATCCAAATTAAACTTCCCACTAGAGGTGGTCATGTTAATATTGAAGGCAAATGTGTCATGCTTGTCCATCAGTTAACAAAGAGAATATAATAAACTTTTCCATGGTTCATTTAGCTCTGTAGAAGATACAGACCATTTACTGGGTAATGATTTCTGATTAATAAAATAAATTTTTATTATTTACACCCTAGTTTTGGGGCCAGTTCTAAATCAGTTGAAGTCTGTGGGGTTAATCAGTCCATTTTTACTGATTAGCATTGCTAAGTTCAGAAAACAGATCACCGTAACGTATTAAAGTGTGCTGGGGAAGGTCATGGAGCAGATCATCTTGAGTGCCATCACATGGCACATATGGGACAACCAGGGGATCGGGCCCAGTCAGCATGGGTTTATGAAAGGCTTCACTAACCTGGTCTCCTTCTATGACAAGGTGACCCGCTTGGTGGATGAGGGGAAGGCTGTGGATGTTGTCTACTTGGACTTTAGTAAGGCCTTTGACACAGTCTCCCACAGCATTCTCCTGGAGAAGCTGGCTGCTCACGGCTTGGATGGGTGCACTCTGCGCTGGGTTAAAAACTGGCTGGACGGCTGAGCTCAGAGAGTGGTGGTGAATGGAGTCAAATCCAGTTGGCGGC